ATGTAATTTCATTTTTAAGTAATTATTAAAAAATAAAATTAAGAAAATAAGAAAATTTAACAACTATATGAACACATTGCCTCATGTCTCATGCTTATTAAGAATTAGATAGAGATTTTCAGATTTAGCCTCATTATTTTGGAATATAGAAATAATTTCCTTCTTTTATCTTGGCAAATTTATAGTATGAGCTGTTACATGACCAATCTTTATGTTTCTGTCAAAGTTTATATAATGACACTGTATAAATACTTTAATGAAATTAAAAAATAATTTTGTGTAAATGACTATTGAAACTGGCAGTTGAAAATGCACATCCATAACCATATTGTATGTCATTTCTAATAAAAAAAGTTGTTTGCAAAACAAATAAGGAAGAATTTTTTGTAAAAATTATTACAGGTGGTAAAAAATGAATATGTTAGAAAAATTGAAAATACAAGAAAAAACGATTACTGGACTTTAATACTGAACTGAAATATAGCAAAAAAATAATGTTACATATTAGGTGACATATATACAATATGCTATTTTATAAATATTTGAAGAATATAGGTTTAAAACCAGCAATATATGTACCTTCTGTAATCACACTGACCAATAAAAGTAAAATGCTACAATAAATAACAATCAAAGGTAAGATATTAGGAGAAAGAAAACTATTTTCTAATATCGAGATTGATAAATTATGTTCCTATATGAAAACACTTACTTACATATTGTAAAATCAATAAAAGAAATATATTTAATTGAATAAAGTACTGATTAAAAGACAACGAGTTTACAGATTCACAAGGTTACATAAAAGTTCATCCATAACTTCAATGCTTTGAAATTGATATCCTTTATCCATGATGGGACTCTTATGCCACCATAGACAAACTTAAAGCTAAAATTAAATTCTGGAAAGAAACTTAAAAAACCTTCTCAAACATCTAGTATTATATATATATTTTTTTTTCAATACTTAATAACAAACTTTTCATTATAAATTTAAACATTCTTAAATTATATACAAATAAACTTACAAAAAGAAGAATAAGAAGAAATAATCATTTTGATGTGCATTGAATTCCATGTAAAATTCTGTTTTTTATAAAGTGTGTAAATATTAAAATTTGGTTACACAATTGATTTAATTTAAAAAATAAACGTAAATCTGTTTCTTTACTATTATAACTATTTATTATATCTTGCTATTATAACTAGTACTTAATATCCTTCTAAAAGCATTGTTACACATTAAATATAATTATACATTATA